GTTGTTGTTGTAACTCGTTATCCTCATTTCATTAAGAGATGTTATAGATACTGATGCTGTAGACAGGAAGGATCTCTTGTAAAGGTCCGTCCTTCAGTGGATCCTAAGAAACTGGCTGCAGATGCCGTCCGATTTGTCCACCCAGACTCGGCTGGCCTATCGGTTCCCCTGGGCTGTGGGACCGCCCAAATGCCGGTCAGAACTCCTCCCAGAGTGATGGTCACTCCTCCCAGCAGTTTGCTTAGCTCCTCATCGCTGCGGACAGCCAACTGTAGGTGCTGAGGGACGATCCTGATCCTGTCCTTCAGCTGTCATGAGCCGTGTTTCCTGCTAGTTCCAGTATCTCAGTGGTCAGGCACTTGAGCACAGCTGGCAGGTAGATGAGAATGCATCCACAGAACATCCTTTCAACTCATTTGAGATTTGGGGCTGTAGTTGAGATATTATTTGAGCTTTTGAGATGTTAATCAGTTGTTGTTGGTTGTAGAAAACTGCCTTGTTGCCATGGTTACGCATCATAACAAATGTCCAAAACTAAAAAAAGTTTCAGTAAAAATCCTTCCGGCTGCACAGCATCTGATACCAGAGGAAACAATAATCCAAAAAATGTGATTTACATCCAGAAAAAGAGGAACTAAAAGTTTCCAAATGCAAAAGCTGTCACGCTCAGCGGCCCCCGCTGGCCCCCCATCTGTTTAAGCCTCTGCTCCTCGTACCACAGCCCCTGTTTTTAGATCATTCACATCTTTTCCTGCTTTAGTTTTGAGTTCCCCTCTCATTCATTCAGCTCCTGTCACCCTGTGCCACGCCCCCTCCACCATCTACTGCAATCTACGTTCATGAGCAACACCTGTTTCAGTTCACTATTTAAGCTCCCTGTTTCTCCTCAGTCGCTGCCAGATAATTAGATTATTTCCAAAGATATCCAGCGTTCCCTCTTCTTGTCACAGTTTTCGACCATAGCTTCGCCCACGACCTCTCGTTCCCGCCTTTGCCCCTGGATAAAGTTCTGCTGCCTAAACTCCTCAGCTTCACAGCTCGCCCATCCAGCCTCACTACCTGTTCGTGCTCACGCTGCTGCTCTGTGCGCATGTTACCGGCTCCTGAGATTCGGACCGGTACCGGGACCCACCCGGCCCACATCTCAGACTGGTTCCAGAGACCACTAATCTGTCTGTCTCCCCCAGAGCGGTCTGGTACCAGAACCAGAACCTCCTCCTGCCAGACGCCGCCGGTTTTTAATAATAAACTTTTTAAACCTTTTTCTGAGTCTGTGCTTGTCCGATCCACACCAATTCATGACAAAAGCTCAGAATGAAAGTAACAGAGCTGCTCCAACATGCAGCCACCTTGAGC